TCCTGACCCTGCTTGCCTGGGAATCACCTGAGGGGGCTGCAGAACAGCAAGGATTGCTGCCTGTTCCTTCTTCTGGTAGCTTCTTCCCAGAAAGGTACCTGCCAGATGTCAGTCAGAGCTCTCCTGTATGAGGTGTCTTTTTGAATATACAAGGATCAGGGAGCAGCTTGTGGAGGCAGTCTGTCCCACATGTTAGAGTGGAAAACAAGACAAACGATATCCCTATTTTCATGGAAATTAAGTTCTGTTAGGGGCAAGACCAAAAATATATCCCAACTGCCAAAATAAAAAGGAAAAAATGAAGAAAAAATATAATTTTAGCTTAAAATTGTGAAAAGAGACCTGAAGAAAATATACAGACTAATATAAGAAATAGATGAAATGGGGAAAAGCATTAACTTTAGTTAGACTGGCCAGGGGAGACTTCTCTGACTAGACAGCATCTGAGCTCCCATTCTGAGAAGGATTCAGTATGCAAGAAAGGGGCAAATAGAAAGACACATAGAGCATTAAGTGGAAAGTGCTGACAAGTGGAACATGATTGAGGAGTACAAAAGGGGTCAGTGTAACAGAAATGCCACTGGTTTCTCGAACATTTAGAACATAGAGTGCCAGTTTCATGGTCAAAGGTGTGAGACAGGAACTTTAGTATGTGTTTGTGAGTGTGTGTGTGTTCAACAAGGGACATGTCTTAATTTTCTCTAACTTGACTTTGTGTCATTGATAGATTTGTTTTTATTTTTAATTGTATTTTAATTCTGAACTCTCCATTTTGACATTGCAAAATCGTCCTATGTTACCACCTCAGCTGGAATAAAATCACTGAACATGTGACGTTAGCCTCCTGCTTGGGATGGACATTTATACCCTGTTTCCAAAGAGCTTCTCTGTGTGTGAGATCACTCATAACATTGCTATGTTGATTATTTGATTTTAATAAGTCAGCGAAAGCTAGCCAGTGAATTATGTTTATAATACATCATGTATATGATTTGGAATTCAAATATGATTCTGAGAAGAAGCCAAGCATGACTCCTGTTTTTCAGAGTATTTGTAATTCTTTTGGTTTTCTTCCTGTGTTTTTTTTACTTTCTTCTTTGAAATTTAGCAACCACAAATTTCATTTTTGTATTTTAATATGAAATATTTGGAAAGTCTGTGTAAGTTAATTTTTTGTTGCAATGATGCCACCTGTTTTATTCGTAATGCTGAAAGAATTAATGTGATAATGTTTATAAAAATCATTGAATACCTTATGGGAGAAAGGATACACACACACACACACACACACACACACACACACACACGAAATTTATTGTAACCCTGAAGTCTTAATGTATTACTACTATGTCATTGCTGCCCTGGCTTCTATGTAAACACCTCAGGCTGAATGTTTTCGACTTCAAACACTTCTATACTTGTTTTGACCTCTTTTTTTTAATCATGTATAAGAGTGAAATTATCTCTCAAGCTGGCCTCAGCCAAGATTCATTCTAGCATGGATTCTCAGGGATGGTGGAAATAGTTTGTATTCTTTCAGTTGGGCTGTCTCTAAACCCGACCAAGATGAAGACAGCCCATTTTTTCAGAAAAAGTGTTAATCATGCCTAATTCTTAGGCATGAATCAAGTGAGATAACAACAGTAATGGTAATCTATAATAATCATAAACAATATTAATAATTTAGTATTTTGTAGCCACTGAAGAATAATAATGTTCTTGTCCATCATCTTGTTTTATCTTTACAATAACCCTAAATATTAGGTAGTATTTGTGCTATTTTATAGGTGAAGAAACTAAGTCTATTCCACATTGCTTCTGGGCTGCCTAAGGAAGACTCCTTAATAAGCCAGACTTAAAACAGGAAAATAAGAAATATATCTCCACAATTCTTATATGAGAAGTAACATTAATGTCTGCATTGATTAACACTTTTTCTGAAAAAATGGGCTGTCTTCATCTTGGTCGGGTTTAGAGACAGCCCAACTGAAAGAATACAAACTATTTCCACCATCCCTGAGAATCCATGCTACAATGAATCTTGGCTGAGGCCAGCTTGAGAGATAATTTCACTCTTAGACATGATTAAAATCCAATAAAAGAGATCTCTTACATGGTGTTTAGAAGGAAGCAGTGCATGGGGAATTCTATTAAAGCCTGTTTAGCGCAGTGACATTATATAGTCAAACTCAGGTGACTGTAACTGGAGGCAGCTAGTAAAAATACCAAGTCAATCCAAAATAATGTCTGTATAGAATCTAAAGTACAGAAACATTTGATAGCTTATCCATACTTGAAGTTCAAAATAAATTTAAAATGGATTAAAATTATTAAATTTGGAATAAAGATGATTAAAATTTGGATAAATTTACATAAACGTTTAACAAAAAATATAAAGGGATATATTGGGATGAGGTGTAGGATAGTGGAGAAAGGAGGAAAAGTTACAAACAAACTTTTGCTTCAACCCTGCTATGTTTGTGGACTAAGCTTTTACTCAAAGCATTTTAGTAAAACTGAGCCTCACAACAACCTTTGGGATTAGGTATTACCCAAATTTTATTCTGAGGGAACCAAACTTTAAAAGAGTACACATATTGCCCAAGGTCCCATAATCACTCATTAGAGGACCAGAACTCAAATTCAAGTCTGTGTTACTCAACATTATAGGGCCCTTCCTAAGGCCTTATAATGCCTCTAAAATAGTTAATCCTTCCTCTCACAGAAAGAAAATTGATTAAACACACATGCACACACACACACACACACACACACAAACACACACACGCACCTACCTTCCAGATGTTTACCAGACAGGTAGAAGCAGACTATTTAAGAATGTATGATCTAGGGTAGCCTGTCATCCCTCTTCTCCGTTTCTTAATATTTACTGTTTCTACTATTTGTCTTTAGTGCTAAAGGAGTTAATGTGTTGCCTTCAAAATTATTATAGTACTCCTATCTTTTTCTTAGTTTCCACTTAAACTGTAGCATTATGTGTTTAACTATTTATTTTCACAATACTGTCCAACACCCTACCTGCCTACCAAATGTAAGGCAGAACACTCGCTGCCAGCAAGTGTTTTGAACACTCCCCCACTGATTTTGTTCATGAAAAGAAGAGGTCAGTGTTTGTAGCTTTCCAAGAAAACTATTAGTCCCACGTTAAACACAAAGAAAAGCACAGAAGCATGTGGGCGTAAACGGTAGGCTTATCTCTTCCACAGCATCACCAACAAAAATGGCACTTGTGACTTCTGATAGCAGCAGTTGTTCTTAGTTTGTTCTCTATTTTGAGGTTGAATAAACGGTTAGAGTGGATGATGAAGTTGTGTGTTGTTGCATGATAGGATACAACCCAAGTAATAAACAACAGACATTTATAAGAAACGTCACAGCAGGAACACCAGACAGCCTTCAGTTGCAAAACAACAGGGCATAAGAAAGAGAATTTGAATAACTGGTTTTTTTTCAGATGTCATACGGCCTTGTGATATATCAAGGAGGGAAATTGCAAAGATGTTTTCTCAAGAATACTGTGAAAAGAATACACAAAGTGACTAATAATGAAGTATGTGATTGTATAGAAATTACATAGTGATGAACTCGTGCTATTAATACTGACGAAGAAAGAATAAATTGTCCTAAGATAATAGCTACATGTAGTTGCAGCAAAGAAGGAATTCAAAGAGATCAACATATAGATAACAAATAGCACACTGAAGGCTTTGGTGAGGTGGAAATGTTAATATCTGAGAGGAGCTGGTTGAAACAAATGCGTAATGTTTCTCTGGAAAGGGATGGGTATTGCTCAGTGCAAGTGTGTGAGAACAAAGAAAGTGCTGGTTAAAGATCTCCGAGATGAGAAAGAATCTGAAGCCATTAATGAATAGAAAATTGGTAATTTTGCTCTATAATATGAACTAATCATCAAATGTTCTCATCTCTGGAGAGCTCCCAAGGGATGAAAGGCTCTTGGCAACACTGAATATAAACAAAATGTCTGTGTGTAAAGCAAGATTGAAGACAAACCAGAGCTAGTCTAAGGAGACAGGCCCTGCCCCTTTCGAGTCTTCAACAGCCACATGTGCATGAAAGATACAGACCCAAGGACATCTTCTACTTCATTTTGGTTGTTTTCTGTCAAACCTAAATGCTTGTTTTCTGGGTTTGTCACCAGGATTTTGTAGCAAAGGAATCATACAGAGTGGAATAATGGATATGCAAGACTCAGAAACAGGGAGGGTAGGAGGAAGATTAGGAATAAAAAAAACTACATATTGGGTACAGTGTACACTATTTGGATGAAGGGCCCCCTAAAATCTCAGACTTCACATCTATGCAATTCATCTGTGTTACCAAAACCCACTTGTATCCCCAAGGCTATTGATATAAAAAAAATTAACTTGTTACCTTGTACACTGAAACAAATACTAAGCTAATTCTTCTTAAGTACTTTGACCTGTATTTGCAGAAGTGACAAGGGAGACATGTCCTTGCTTCACAAAATAGACAGTTCAACAATTAGCTGCCAATACAGCAATGAAGTAATAAAGTATGATAAGCATGATGGCTATTGTCTGTTGTAGACATTTCATTTAAATGGGATCATAGAATATGTGGCCTTTTGTGGCTGGCTCCCTTCACTTAGGATGATGTTTTCAGTGTTCACCTGTGTTGCCGTGTGTATCAGTATTTTGCTCGTTTTCACAGCCAAATTATATTCCATTGTACAGATGTACAATGTTTTGTTTATCCTTTCATCAGTAGGTACACATTTGGTTTCCATTTTTTAACTATCATGACTGATGATCCTGTGAACATTTGTGGATACATATTTGTGTGGACATATGCCTTTGTTTCTCTTGGATATATAACTGGCAGTGAAATTGCTGTGTCATATGGTAACTCTATGATTATCCTTTTAAGGTACTGCCATGTTTTCCAAAGAAGAAATGCTTTTACATTCCCTCTGGCAATGTTTTGCTTTCTTTTTACAGACCCCAGAGGAACTGGAGGATGTTTCTGACCTTGAAGAGGATCACGAGGTTCGCAGTCACACCAGTATTCAGACAGAAGGGAAAACTGACAGGGTATGTCACTTCCCTGGTGGGAGAACCATGTCCTGTGTTATTAATGGCTGTGCCCTCCCTTTGCCAATCTAGGCGGCCTCTAACAGGGGCAACTCAGGGATCTGAAGCCAGATCTGTGAAACACATAGAAAAAAACCTTAGCATTAAGGGAAACCACATGAGGGGAATTATTTTCCTCTATCTTGAGAGCTCACAGTAAGACCATTTCAGGTCATGTAGTGAATCACTCCATACTGCTTTTGAGCTTTATAGGAGTCATGGGAATATAAAAGTGAAATATGTACATGTTTGCTTAGAGTAGAAAAAAGGAATGAAGAAGTGGTAAATATACTCTGAAATTCTAGTGGAAAAGGAAACTCATCTGAGTCAATAATCTACTTTTCTTTCCCTGCAATAACTTTTCCTGTGCCTGCTCCTACACACACACACACACACACACACACACACACACCACCAACACACAACTCCAGATATGTTAATTCTAATTTCTGAATTACTCTGAGATACTGTACTTCACTTTAGTCCCACCCAGTGCCTGGGTGTCTGTGAAATTTTGGCATCCTAGCCACTTACAGCTTGCAACTATGGACCAGACTACAAACCTTGGGTCAGAAACCCATGTAGTACAGCACGGTCTCTAAGGCTTCCCAGAAATGTATCTGAATCTGCCATCTCTTTCTGCTGTTTTACTAGGGAAAGGCAGTTAGCTTCTCTGTACCTCAGTTCCCTCATTTATAAAGCAGAGACACTGATAGTATCCTTCATATGAGGATTACTGTGAGAATTAATGGAGTCAACTAACAGAGCACTTATATAGTGCTTAGTTCATAGCCACTTCTCAATAGCTGTTAGTTACTATTATTCATAGTAGCAGTGCAGCAATAATAGTTTGATTACCATGATGGTCATTCGTAGTTAAATTCAGTGACATAAAATTTGGAGATGGAAGCAAATTCCTAACCTTTCCCTTTGTTTCCTGGTCTCTCATGGGCCTATCTGATGTTGAAACACTTATATTGAAAGACTGGAGCACACTGTGTTATTTGGTAGATATATTGTTATGGGATCCTCAGAAACATTTCAAGCAAAGACCTGTTGGGTCAACTCCATGTCACAAATACTGTTAGTGCATATTCCTTAAATAAAATGATATTTCCATACATATTTTGATATTTTATTATACTCTGTGGCTTGTGGAAACTGATTTGAAGAAAAACAAACTTTAAGCTTTACCAAATTTTACCTATAATCCTTTGGATTTCTATTTCCTAAGAATGGAAAATAAGATGAATGCACTGAAAAATATCTAATTTTAAACAGATGCAGAGACTCAGATTTGGTTTCTATTATTCTTTTTGATTGCCTTTTTAAAGTCCCACAACATATGTAAAAATATTTTGTTTCTGTTCATCTACTTTCACATATGTGAAATGAATGTTAGAAAAGCATCTCCTTAGAGCATAACTATATCTTTTTATTAACAATAATATCTTGCACTTACATATTTGTTTTTACAAGTGCTAAGTATTTTCTCATTTACTATATAATACAGAAAATATAATGAAACATAATATGGAAAAAGGTAAATTTGGGAAAGTTCCTCATTTTCAGAATTCAGACTGCCTAGAAATAATATTTATTAGCCAAGTAAATAAAACATGTGTTTTGTCAAAAACATCATTTATCTCAAATTTTGGTAATAGGAATATTTCATTTTAGTGGAGAAAAGCTGTTCTCTGAGTAGAAACCATTATTACATAGCCAGAAAGATAGTATTTGGTAATATATTGGGAAATGCTACTTTCTTGAGTTTCCATTTCTTATAGATTATTCAGTTTATTTGTCAGTCCTCTAGTAGCCAATTTGTGTTGAAAGCTATCTGGAGTCACACAGCACCTGGATTTAGTTTCCTTCAAATCTGGTTGGCATCATTGGTAGAGATCAGATCTTATGAATGAAAATGAAATTGGAAATACATTTTTGCTAAAGGTACTCTTTGCTCATGCTTTCAGGGAGGTGAGTGAGTGATTCTGGCTGATGACACTGAAGGTGAAGTGTAGGTGTCAGCTTACAAAGTAATTGACCAAAGGAAATTTTATTAAAATTAAGGCTCTTTTTAGAATGCTAGAATTAGGATAAACACACCTCAGTTTTTATTCTGACTTAGCAATTGTAGACAATGAAGAATTGGTTAGGAAACCAAATTTATTCATTTGAAAAATGAGATGAATAGTGCCATAGTTTCTCACAGCATCACTGGTAACTTCAAATAAGATAATGCATATGGAAGTGTTTCAAAAACGTTCACATTATATGATAAGAAGGTAAACTTCTTAATACTATTATTTTCATTTATATTTTTGTTCTTGGTCCAAAATGTAGGCCAGTCTAGCTAGATGACTGACTGCCCATTATAGGTTACAAAATTGATGATCCCCATGGTTCTGGATCTTAAGAATTTTTCATGAAGCTACAGCTTCTAATGTTGTGGACATTACCCTGAAACTGCTTTCATCTTGCATTAGTGTTCATCTGTGTACAGCTCTCTGACAATCCTGTTCATTCAGAATGCCACTGGGTGAAAACCTCACTATCTGTTTAGTAACAAGGTAGATCACTGACCCCAAAATCCACTGGTAGCGACATTATATTCAACCTGGCCGTTCTCTGCTCTTATAAATCTCCTCTGCATAAATCCCAAATAATTTGGATTTTATTCACTCCCTGCATTGGGGTTCCCTAGCAACTACTATGTGAAATCCCCCTGATAACTGCTCAGTCATGATAATACATACACAGCTTCATGTAAGGTGTGAACCCCACATAGAGCAACTCTTGACCAATATCCCTCTTCCATTTCTAACATGGACAGTTTGAAAATAAATTTTCCATAGAACCTAAAAGGGTCCCCAGTAGGATCAAGCAGTAGCCATGCTGATCTGTATCTTTAGACGGGCTCTCCTTTCTTTCCTGATTCATTCTTCCCCTTCCAGTTCTGTTTTCTAATATCTATTTCCAAAATAAACTACCTTTCAATCTCAGACTCTGCTTTTTGGAAGAAAACAATAAAAAAATCACTTCATATATGCTATTTTACTTAAATTTTACATTAACTTTGCTATATTAATAATATTATCCCAGTTTTACTACTAAGATCACTAAAGCTCAGATTTATGTAACTTGTCTAGTAAGAAGATTATGTCTTCAGACTCACACCTTCTGTGATTGCCACATGTCAGTTTACTTAGGATCTAAAGTTAGGATAAGTCCTTTACTATAAAACACAGATAGACTGCCACCATAGCAATAAACCTGATATATAATTAATGGAATGAGAGAGGGGGCAGAGCAAAGAATGTTGCTGACAGGTGGAAGACACAAATTTTCTTTTAAATTTTAAAGAGCAATTATTTTATGTTATAGATGATTATATTTTATTTTAAAGGACACAAATTTTATATTATAAATGATTATTTTTATTTAAAAGACACAAATTTTCTTTTAAATTTATTTTGTATTATAGATGATTTGATACCAATAACACCCCTTACAGTATATCTGCCTTTTGAGTTTATTACCACAGATTCTGCTCTCATAAGTTAAGTTTGTGAAACAGATGGCCAAGGATGGGGAAAGCTTAAATTTGGTCCTCACCCAAATCACCCAACAAGAACTAACATTATATTTAGATAGGTTTTACAGTATCCACCAGATATCTTATATTCCCGAGTGCCATATTCTTTATACTAGTATGTGTGTCCCATGTTCCTTATAAATGATATTTGTATCTTCAGTCTCATATCCATCTGGGAAATTATTGTCACATTCTAGCCAGAATTGCTGTAATTTCATATCCATTAGACTGAGTGTAACTTTTGGTACATTTCACAAGCATTCTCACTTTGAGAAAACACTACAAGATATTGAAGTAAATTCTGTTGAGAACTCTTTAAACACTCATGCCATTCTCAGTGTGGAATTGGGGGTCACAGCACAAGATGAAGAAATGGATTCCTTTCTTTGTTGTTGCTGTTACTAAAGAGTAAATGCCTTTTTAGTTCTTGGATTATGCAGACTCCGCTTGAACAGGTGCTAGAACCAGGCGCTGTGTAGTAATGGAGTGACAGTTATTTATTATCATTTTACTTTCTGTATTTCATTTCTACTAGCTTTGGCTCAACATCATTTATTATTGTTGTCACCAGTGGCAAATACCACTAGGCATTGTAATGGTCTGTAACTAACATATAATGATTTAGAGTCTGTGGTCAACGAGAACAGAATATTAAAAGACCAATAGTGCGTGCCTTATGAAGTGGCAGTGGAAACAGCAGTGGAAATCAGTAACTATCTTAATTATTAAACATGAATACTCACTGGACCAATACATGGTTATATCCAGTGATCAGGCGTATCGCAGTGACACAGAAGCTTGAGTTGGGTACCGGGTCGTAGAACATTCTTCACGGAGCTTGTTGTTTATTTTGTTCATGCTTTCAGCCAGAATAAAATAGATATCTGTTCTCTGGAAAACTCAACTCAAATTCAAAGGAGACAAGAAGACAGACTTTCATTAAGATAATAAAATTTCTAAACCTATTAATAAAATTTTTGTAAGTCCTAAAAGCTTCCTAAAATATTATATGAAATCCAGACTAAATCAAATTTTCTATTTAAACAGAGCACTGTCTGATACTATTTAACACATTATAGTTTACAGAACATTTCCAATTTGGTAGCTACTTTTTAAAAAAGCCCTGGAGCTTATTTTTGTTATCTTTTCCTTTTGGTTTTACTAATTAGGAAATTAGACTCAAGAAAAGTTAAGTAGTTTATGCAAGTCATGTTGACTGGGACCAAATCTCAGGTGTTCTGGCCTGAAACATTTTCTCTTTCCAGTATAGCAGACTTGTTAACTGGAATAGAGTCTCATTGTCCCTTAATATTATCATTGATCTACTATTTCAACAGCCAGTATTAGAGTTGATATTATAAATTGC